GGGCGCTGCTCTAAAGTATGTTAAAGAAAATGTATTTACAGCTGCCTCAGGAAGCAGATACACTTCCAATGTGCCACAAGTTCTTGTTGTTTTAAGTAGTGGACCATCAAGTGACAGTGTGGATTTGCCTGTTGCTTCTTTAAAAGAAAGCAATGTCACAATATTAACAATTGGAACGAAAAACTCTGACCACAAAGAAATGGAGAGGATATCACATGCTCCAAGTTACACTTTATCAGTTTCTGAAATGGCTGAACTTCCAAGTATACAGGAACAAGTTGTTGCTGCAATTGCAGAAGAAAATTTGAAAAAGGAAATTTCAAAAACAGGAGTGATCGGTAAGAATAATTGCACACATACTGTATATTGTATGATGCAGTTTATACTCAAATGCATAGCTTTTCCTAATATGGGAATTCCTAACTTCTAAATTCTGTAAGGGGAAGCAGGATCAATACATACACTATAAATACTGAGTATTTACTAGACTTTTCTTTGACTCTTATTATTATTACTTTTATAATTACTTTTATAAGTTGGAGCAAACATCACTCCTTGCCTGACAAATGTACAAAGGCGGTATTTCTTGTGCCATTACCCCAAAATATCACCTGGCGTGACTTTATAGCATTGCAAGACATTGACAGGAAGTCACATAGCCAAATCTTGTTACAGACGTGACGTCATGAAGCTGTGCCTGGTGGAATTTTGGGGTAATAGTACACAACAGTCTAAAATATGTTGATATTGTATGAACTCACTCAGTGCTGAGGTGTAATAATGGTGGTAGGAAAAAGGAAAAAGAGTATACAGTATGGTATAGTGTACCATTCAAAAAGATACGTATTTTGTTTCTGATTCATTACTTAATTGAAAAATTGAAAGAATTGTAAACAGTATTTATAATTGAAACTATAAAATATAAGAAAAGGACACAGTTATCCTAAATAGGCCAAACAATATATTTTAATATGATGCCTTAAAATAGTGTAAAAAGTTCTGAGTAAATATTTTAACATCTATCACTGCACCTTTCTTATTTATTAAATTTAAGTGGGGTAGCCATAACTCACAAAAAATATTAAATTGCTTAGCAGGAAGTATTTCCACTCAGTTATCCTGGCCGACAGGGAACATTCCCCTGATCTCTGATTTGGCTATTGTTTGAATTAATTATTATAGATATGTTAACTGTGTTTCACATTACCCTTAAAGTGTTTAAGAAAAGAAAATTATGAAAGGAAAAGTAGAAGAAACGCAAATTGCGGGAGACATTCATTAAAGATAATTATAGAAGTTAAATTGGTTTCATTTGTTCTTTGTGGTAGATTTAGGAAAAGAATACCTTTAAACCTATGCGCTTTAATTTCTGATTTCTGTTGTCTAAATAGGACAGCAAATATGAGAATGGTCATTTCTGTGAAAATGAAACCAGAAGTCATTGATCAATACTTTTGTGTTATTTTGTATATAAAAAAATTAAATGTGTGAAATATGAAGATTTGTCAAGCAAGTGGAAATCATTGTTCCAACTCAATTTAGGTAAATTACATTGTTCGAATAAGTGATTTTTGTGAGTTTATTTCACAAATCCCAAATAAGAACAAAAAATAATAATTTCATTAGATCGCAAATTGAAATGTATCAAAGCGTATGTTAGCATATTTGCCTGCAATTTGTTAAGTAAGGTGTAAACCTGGAGGTTAGCTTTCGTCATATGACTTTCGCATGGACTCTCTCGCCGATGGGAAACTACCGTTCCTGTAAACACAATGAACCTAAAATATGTCTGGAATTCTTCCTATGTTCCACCCTACAGGTGAGAGAAAGGCACCACGGAGAAAGGATTGTGTCGTGTTCTTGTTTCGCGCATGGATTCTGATGTACTAGAAGTGGATTCCCACGCCTTACGCTGCGAGACTTGTCCACAAGAGTAGTAGAGACACACTCAAGTGGTGGAATCCACAACAAGAGGACCCCGCTGCGTCTCAGCTTGCCGTTCAGTACAGCCATAGATCCAGCCGTCCCAGTGTCCTAACTCTGAACACGTACCACTCACACCAACCCAAGCGCGCAGACTTCGCGCGTTTCGACACCACACTGCGTCAGGCCGTGGTTTGCAGGCACATGCGTGGATACGCGCGCAGGCAGGGAAAGCGGAAACGCACACTCAAACACCTGAGACAGCCCCAGTACCCTTTGCGGGATATGTCTTCACGGCCTCTGCCGGAAGCAGGCTCCCGGAAGGAGTTCCACAGGCTCTAATATTGCTAAGTGGTGGAAGGTCTTTTGACAGTGTTGATGCACCAGCCTCTGCTCTCAAACAGCTGGGTGTCTTGATCTTTCCAATTGGAACAGGAAGTGCCGATAGCAGACAACTGCAGGAGATATCAAACCATCTCAAGTTATGCCTCTGTCTGTGGTCTGAATTCACCGACCTTCCCAGTGTCCAAGTCCTCCGTGGAGGCTGTGGTTATTGACGCCACCCCAGAATCACCAACAGTCACTGGTATGTTAACAAGCACAGCCTCTTGCTGGCCTGAAAGGCTACCTGACTTGTTTTACCTTTGCTGAATGACAAAACAAGACGTGTGCTATTTTTTTTAGCTCCATTTGCATTTAAAGAGAGGTGGTGGTCTGCTTAGCTACTCTTTACAATTAAAGAAGGCAGTGCTAGGTTTCTTTCAAAAAGAAAAAAAAATAGTCCACAACTTGATCATTTTAGCAATGCAAGGTTTAATAACAACAGTGCTATTTAGGGCCCCGTCTTTGAAACGAGTAGTACCTTTCAAGAAAGTGCAAGAAGTTGTGGTCTGCCAGGGTCTATTTGACAAAACTAATTTGTCTGCAATAGTAGCTTTCGTAACATGACTTTGACATGGGACACGTTTGACATATGAAACTAAACATGTCTCAAATTTTATGTTCCCTATTTACCAGAAAAGGATGTTGTGTTTTTTTTGGATGGATCTGAATAACCTGTTTGCATACATACAGACATCACAGCATTGTTTTAGTGTTTTATAAATCTGCCTCCTAGAAGTGCTGCAATGCAGCCCACTACTATTCAGCATTTCCCTCCACTTTGATTATTTCGATCTAAACACACTGAAACATTAGGCTGCAAGTTGAACCTCACCTACCCCTTTGTTAGTGGGTGTAAGACCAGTCAGTTACTTCTCTGTATTGTAACAGTTCTTGTGAACGATGCCTGGTTCCCTTTGTCTAATTGTAATTCTGTCTATGATTGCATTCCATACAACTCCATTCATAAAAGTTTTCATCTTGAAGTGCATTGTCATGCTATTGCACTCAACACAACTTCACCCAGCTTTTCTGCATTCATCCCTAATGATCCTTCTTTTTTGTAGTTTTTAATATGTTGCAATTATTAATTGTTTATGTATTGCAGTCATTTTTCTTTTAAGTGTGAACTCTGCTATTACTTTGGCATAGAAAATATTCTCTCAGTTTGGTCACGACAAAGAGAAGCACTCTTCAAACAATAGGGACATTCTTGAGTCTGAGGATGCTCTTGATTCTGAGTCTTGGTAAAACAATTTGCAACGTTCATCTCACAAATTCATACCCGCAGTCTTTCCTTTGCCAGAAAAATAATTATCTTTTTCATCTCATCCATATTCTCTTAACTTTTTTTTAAATTCTATTCAGGTTCTCTCTTTTGATTATTTTTTATTTTGATTCACATCCACAACTTTTAGCACTATGTCTTTGTAAAATAATGTTGTGTCTGTGGAAGAGAGCATTCATTATTTCTATTTTAAACATTGTCAAGAGGTCTGTATTCCTAGTTCTTTGGAATGATCTTTATTCATCTTTTCATTTCCTTAGGTTATTTAATTTTTGAAATATGCACCGAATTACAGGATATTAGTTTTATCATGGACGGAGGCACATAAAACTGAATATTATCATCGTTAAGTTGGTAGCCCAAGGAATGATGAATACTGTGTTTATATGTTATCAGTAAACAAAAGGCTAACATACATTTTTACGGCAGCTGACATACATGACATGATATTTAAACCACATGCTACAGTTAATACATGAAAAAAAGAAATAATTGGCTGACTGCCTTAATCATTATACATATTAGGCAACTCAAAAGTCTGGTAATAAATAGGATATGATTTATTGTAGTGTTTTTTAAATTGGATTTGTGTTGTTTTTTGTTGATGGTTTAAAGAGCGTCATTTGGGGAAAAACTATCCCTTCTAATTTGTGCAGTCTGGTTGGCTTCACAATTGACTGTGAATTCAGCTTTGACACTCAAGACATGAAAGTTGGCTGCAAAAGAGCTTGCATCCGTATGCTGCGTTGTTGGAAAACTAAACTCACAGGCACACTGTCACACTGATTGAAGGATAATATCAGCCTTCACTATATTTTATTTTATCTAATAAATGACACATATGCAAGACATAGCAACTAGTATACACATAAAATTAAATAAAAAAAATAAAGTGAAGAATTTTTTAAGTGGTTTACATGGTTGGAATTATACCACAGCCAAACAGTCAGTGCTGTAGATGCTCCACTATGTGAGAAAGTTGTTTGAAAGATGATATGAAAATAGGGTTGCTGGGTTAATCTCCATATTTGACCAAATGTTCCTTGAAACTTTGGGACCAAAGAAAGATGTGAATCTAAGGTAATGAAAAACTTAAGTTGTGAGATGTAGGCAGGATTCTCTAAGCTCCTGTTGATATCCATCCACAAATTTTTTCTCAACTATTTAGTTTTGTATTTTCATTCAGATTTTATGCTGCAAGAAGACACTGTTCCCTACAGTTTACAAGATCCTATGAGGACAGTTCAAGAAACCCTATTACCACAAATCAAGACAAAATGTCCAATAGTCTGTTAAAAGGCTGTCATGTATCAGTTATAATTGCTGCTGTAATTTTCCTGAGTATTGGTTCCGTGTTTGATCATTTCTGTAGCAGAACATAATATTGTATTTTCTCTTTCTCTTTCAGCTGAGTCGCAGGGCCCCCGGAAGGATGTAATCTTCCTTGTTGATGGATCTGATGGTGTTGGACGGGAATTTCCCATCATCCAGGAGTTTATCCGCAGGGTTGTGGAGAGTCTTAATGTAGGCGAGAATAAGATCCGGATTGGCGTGGTCCAGTATGGCGACTATGCTCAGGCTGACATGTATCTGAACACACATACAACCAAAGAAGGTATTTTGAATGGTGTCAGGGGAATGAGGCAACGAAGAGGAAGACAACGTAACCTGGGTCAGGCCTTGCAGTTTGTCAATCAGAATGTTCTGACAGCAGCACGTGGTAGCAGAAAGGAAGAGGGTGTACCACAGTTTTTAATTGTCGTCTCCAGTGGGTCTTCAACAGATGACATCAGTCGAGCAGCCACTTCCCTTAAAGAATCTAGAGTTCTTCCCTTCAGCATTGGGACCAGGGATGTTAACCGTAGGGAGCTCCAGGTGGTGTCATACGTGCCTAACTTTGCCTTCACTGTAGATGACCTCCCTGGCCTGTACACAGTCCAAGAAAACCTAATCAACACTCTCACTGAGATGTCAGATGATGACATCGCCAGGATGCGCCCAGTATTCCCAACCACTGAAGGTAATTTTACTCTATCAAAGTCTAAAAAGTTATTTACAACTTACAACCACATTTTCACACATTTCACTTAATTTACTGCAGTAAATGTTAAATGTTGAACTTAAGTTTGAAGTTCCACATTTGACTTAATACATGATAATTGTCCCTCCCAGTCATACTGTATGTCCTCTATATTTGTTAGGAACTCTGCAGTTTGTAATCATACAATGTTACTGTGCTTTCATTCTTACTGAGCAGAAATCACACCAGTACCTGCGGGAGGCGACAAGAGGGATGTCGTATTTCTAATTGATGGCACGACAGCGGTGCGTAACGAGTTCCCCTCCATCCGTGAAATGATAAAAAGAGTCGTGGACAAGCTGGATGTAGGATTGGACAAGGTCCGAGTTTCAGTGGTGCAGTACAGTGATGACCCAAAGTTAGAATTTCTTTTGAATAATTTCTCCACCAAAGAAGAGGTACGCCAAGCTGTGACAAAACTTCGAAGCATAGGTGGTAACCGTCTAAACACAGGCCGTGCTCTTGAGTGGGTCTCCAGAAACATCTACCAGAGGTCAGCAGGAAGTCGCATTGAGGATGGTGTGCCTCAGTTCCTCATTCTAGTTACAGGTGGCAAGTCTACAGATGATGTATCTACTGCAGCTGACCAACTTAAAAGAAACCATGTTGCACCTCTTGCCATTGGTTCAAGGAATGCAGATCCTGATGAACTGAGACAGATTTCCCTGAGGCCCGAACTTGTGTATACAGTTGACAATTTCCAGCAGCTTCCAAGAGTGGAAACGCAGCTGATTGGTTCAGTCAAAACATTATCTACCACTGATATCAGCAATTATGTTCCTCCCACAGTCTTCAGAGGTAAGAAATACTGTTCTTAGTATTCAAGGTTTAAGTGCTCAATATTAACTGGTTGCTTTTTAGAATAGTTTTTCATTACTCATATAACTAAATAAAATGCATCATGGTGCACTGGTTGTGTAGGGGTAAAGTTCCTGTCAACGACTACAAAGCCCTGGAGCTTGATTCTGTTATGGAGTTCTGTTATAGTGGTAGAAATGAAAAAAATAAAATAAAATAAATGCATCAGTCTTTTTCTAATATACTTCAAAATAAATGAATAAATGTCTCCCTTTCCCTGTCTTGTGTTTATTTTGCAGAAATCCTAGATCTTGGGAAAAAGGACATACTCTTCCTTATTGATGGCTCAGACAATACAGGTGCTGCTGGAATTGCTCATATCCGTGACTTCATCCTCAACATTGTTGAACAACTTGATGTGCAGCCTGATCAAGTGCGTGTGGCTGTCGTCCAGTATGCAGACAGAGTAAAAACAGAGTTCTCACTCAACTCACACAACAACAAGCAAGCTGTTGTCTCGGCTATCAAACGACTTCGTCAGATGGGTGGCAGGTCATCAGATCTGGCTGACGCCATTAAGTATGTTATGGAGAATGAGTTAAAACCCTCCTCCGGGGTTCGTCTGGCTGAGGCCTCACAGCATCTTGTAGTTCTCACAGGTGGACGTTCCTCCCAAGATGTTTCCATTTATGGACCTCAGCTTAAGAATTCCCGGGTCAACTGCATTGGTGTTGGAGCTGGTGGTACTAACACAAAGCAGCTAACCCAAATTGCCACCACCTCAGAGGATGTCCTTCAGGTTCCTACATTCCCTGGCCTGCCAGCAATCAAGGACAGGTTTATTACCAGGTTGAAAGGAAACTCAGTCACTCCCCCTCCTTATTCTCCAACCAATGGTTATGGTAGGTTATGCAGAAATGTACACAAACTATTAATACTTAGATAGCATGTTTTACCATAATGCTAAAATCATGAATCGCTTTTTCTCCATTTCTTCTCTTGTTATCCTCTTTCTTTACCCTGCCCTCTTCAATATCTCACCTTCCTTCTCATAGATTCATCCCTGCCTCCACCCAAAAAGGCTGATATAGTGTTTTTAGTGGATGGCTCCATTAACGTGGGCAGGGACAACTTCAATGAAGTGATGATGTTTATCACCAACCTAATTGATCTGTTCTACACTGAGAGAGACAACCTGCGGATTGGTCTGGCACATTATGCCGCAGATGTGACGGATGTCTTCTACCTCAACACATACAAGGACAGGCAAGACATTATGGATGCGATCGGTCAAGCAGAGTACAAAGGTGGAAATAAAATCAACACTGGTGCAGCCATTCGTCACATTCAAGACGTTCACTTTACAAAAGAAAAAGGCAGTAGGGTGGATGAGGGCACTCCTCAGATCCTAATGGTTATCACCGGAGGAAGCTCAGCTGATGACAGCAAAACAGCAGCCCTTGGTCTGAAGAAAAAGGGTGTGAGAATTTTTGCTGTAGGAGTGGGCGACACTAAGGATGAGTTAGAAAACCTAGCAAGCGAGTCCACCACAGTGGCTCGAGCAAGAACCTTTCAGGAACTTTCAGAGCTCAATGAGCAAATCCTGGAGACTATGGATGATGAAGTGAAGGGCAAGCTGTGTGTTGGTTCTTCAGAAACTTCTAAAAGTAAGAGATATAGTTTTTTTTTCTTTTTTACAAATGGACTTTTTTTGATTTGCAGCTTATAATTCAATGTTTCAGTTTCCAGACGTTTTATGTGGTTCACAAAAATGCCTAAAATATAACCATGCTCTGTTTTACAGCCTGTGAGATAGAGGTGTTGGTGGGCTTTGATGTTTCTGCTCAGAACATCTTCACTGCTCAGACTAATCTCCAGAGCAAGATGGGTGCCATTCTGCAGAGAATTTCCAAAATGGCAGCTATCAGTTGTTCATCTGGGCAGATTCCTTCTGTGCTAGTAGGCATGCTGGCCATGGACTCAGCCTCTGAGCCTGTCCAGCTGGACTTCACAAACAATGCCGATGAACTCTTTGAGGCCTTCAGAGCCTTGCGGAGTCGTGGCCCATATGTCCTCAATGGCAAGACCATTTCAGCTTACACCAATAGGTTCAAAACCAGACAGGACAATGTTGTCAAGGTTGGTTACTGAAACAGTTTAAACTAGAGATATTCCGACCCAGTCCCCAGTATGGGGGCCAATAAAGGCATATTTTAAAGGATCTGCATTGGCTGTTTTGAAACAGGACCTTTAGTATTTGGATCAAATAGCTCAGGAAAAAAAAGCGTTGCAAAATTGTACAAATTTTACAATTCTACAGCTATTATATATATATATATATACATATATATATATATATATGTCAGATACATATTTTAATCAACATTTAATCAACAAGTAGTAACTTGACCCAGTATTGGCAGATACACAATATTAAAGGAATCACATCAAGATCAATGCCAAAAAACTGCGTCGGAACATCCCTATTTTAAACTTACCAATGGAAATACTCATGGGAAATGTAAGAAAGTGTCAAATTGAATTGTATTTTTTCCCTGCAGGTTGTCATTCATCTCACTGATGGCCTTGATGCCCCATATGCTGAAATGAAAAGGCGAGTTGAGGAACTACGGCTTTCAGGTAAAAAGATGATACAGTAAACAGCCCTTGATGACTATACTTAAACCTGTATGAAATATAGCAATATCATATTCAGAAGTAATTTTTGATGATAAATGTGTTCCTGAAACTCTACAAAACAGGAGTGAACAGTTTCATCCTGGTTGGGTTGGAGCGAGTGCCCAAATTTGAGGAGGCTTTGCTACTGGAATTTGGCCGCGGCTTTAGGTACACCAGGCCCTTACGAGTCAATATCATGGACTTGGACTATGAGCTTATGGAAGAACTGGTGAGTACTAATCAGTCAGACATAAGACTTTTGTGAGCTTTATTTCTTCCCCTAGAATTACTTAATATTTGTTTTATTTTGCTATGTAGGACAATATCGCAGAGAGGGACTGCTGTGGAGTGCCATGCAAATGTATCGGCACCAGAGGAGACCGAGGAGCAGTTGGACTTCCAGGGTCTAAGGTATCCAAAAATATGTATTTTTTAAGTACTTCAATATATACAAATACTCTTCCTTTAATAATACCCCAAAATAATTGTTTATCAGAAGCTAATACTTTGTTGTTTTGTTTTTTTAGGGTGGTCCAGGATTACCAGGAAGCCAAGGACATCCTGGAGATGAGGGTGGACCTGTAAGTTTTAATGCCTTGCTGAGTTTCCATGAGCTGAATATCAGACCTGCTGTAAAGTGCCCTGATCTAAACCTGTTGGTTAACCATGTTTTGTTTTCTCAAGAAGTACATTGACAACTATCAATGTTGTCCAATGTTCACTGTTTTCCACCACTTCATGTTCCTTCATAAGGCAGCCCTCCTGTATTTTGTTGACATGTTGTATTGTGTTTATTTTGTGATGACAGGGAGAGAGAGGTCATCCTGGTGTGAATGGAACTCAGGGTTTCCAGGGATGTCCTGGACAGAGAGGTGTCAAGGTAAAATCTTTGATATTAAATTTAACATTCAGCTTAAACAACTTAATATTTTTTATTGTAAATTGTCATGGTGTAACACTATTGTTTTTTCTTTCATTCAGGGTTCTCGTGGGTATTCAGGAGAAAAGGTAAGTGTTAATCTTTCTTTAAAAAAAAGATTTCATCTTTAGATAAAGCTGTCAAAAAAAGGCTAACACACTAATTACCTAACCAAACGCTACCATGTTGCAGGGTGAATTTGGAGAAATCGGGCTTGATGGAATCAATGGAGAAGAGGTAAGTGTGTGTGTTTTATTGGAATTGGTCATTCAGTCCATCTGTTTTATATCTAACACATCATACAGAATGATGTGCAATCTCTTCTTCTCTTGCTAGCTGTCATGTGTTCATGTGGCAAAGACGTAAATCTTCTCTGGTTTATGCATGATTAGGAGCTTTAATTGGCCTCTGCTCTTTGTTTTCAGGGCAAAAGTGGAGTGGCTGGACCCCCAGGAGACAGAGGAAATCCTGGCAGAAGAGTCAGTGTTCAGATGCAATTTTAGCATCACGTTTGTTCTTCCCTTTCTTTAGAAAAGAAATATCTTCTATTGCCAATGCTGTTAAATGCTCACTAAACGTATTTATTGCTTATAGGGTCCCAAAGGTATCAAAGGACAAGCAGGAGACATCGGAGAAATGGGAATCAGAGGAGACCCAGTGAGTATTATGGGAACTAGTTATAATACCCTTTTTTCAACCATCCATACTTACATGTTTTGTTAAGCATGGATACCTGAACTGATCTACGCTGATTATAAAGTATTAGCATATTCATTACTTTTTGAATATTTATAAATTTGCTTGTATGCATATGCATGTTTGTATGCATGTATACAATAGAATGACAGTCAGAGAATACTAGTTTAGACTGTCATAAGTTGCATTAATCCATTCTTCAGTGGCCACTGTTCAACTTCCTTTGAACAGGGCTCCCAACAGTGGCCCGTAGTATAAATTGCTGTGTCCGGTCATTAAGTATGCATCCTCGCTCACCTTGCCATCCATTGCTCCCCCAGGCAGTTTATTAAAAAAGAATGTGTTCTTGGTTTCCTGGGCAAATTGTGTCTAAGGGTGTTTGAATGTAAATGAAAATAATCTGTCTAATAGGGTACAAGTGGACAAGATAACAACCAAGCAGGACCTAAAGGAGACCCTGGTGATGCTGGACCAGTGGTAATTTTTCCTCTTTACACATTGTATTGCTATAGGAATATCCTACCAATGCATTTTCAATACTATACTTTTAGCAGTTTAACATTACATGGTTGACTCTGTATGGGCTTGTTTTGATAACTTTGATGACTGCTCTGCAATGATAGGGAGTGTCTGGTGAAGATGGAAAGACGGGAGACCCTGGTGAATTTGGAAGAAGGGTAAACAATTTTACCACAAGTTTATTATATTTGCTAAATACTTACATACCACTGTTTTTATTAATCAAGACTTACTCCCACATCATTAGGGAGCTGATGGCAGAAGAGGCCCACCTGGACAGGCTGTAAGTCCCTTTTTGGTGATAACACACATTTTTTAACTGTCCTGGCAGTAATTGTGAATTGTAATTTTGCTGCTCACATGTCATTATAGGGAAATCCCGGAAAACCAGGAGCTGATGGTGTTGTGGGAGAGCCTGGTATTGGAGGATCTAGAGTAAGTTTGTCTTTCTTTTAATTTTTATTTATTTTTTATTTTTTTACAGATTATTTATGCTACAAACGCCAACACGTATCATAGTGAATGTCATTACCAATAATTATTTTCTTGGCTACATTAGCAACATGACAATTCATTTGACTAGACTGTGCCTGGATTATCTTTATATCTAGAAATGTGTGTTCAGTATTTACTCATTGGTTGGAAGTCTTTGTCGAATATGTAAGAAACTTCATTTATCATTGATGTCTTGTTTGTCTCTCTTTTTTTTAAGGGTAAACCTGGACCGATTGGTGCACCAGGACCCAGAGGAGAAGATGGGAACCCTGGACCCAGGGTAAGTGAACCTGTTATTTTATAAAATAAAATCTTTCTGCAACATATTAAACGCATATTAATTCAAATCAAGTCATATATATTTAGGGAGCACCAGTGTCAGTTTTAAACATAGTAGAATACAGATAGAGAATACCAAGCAGACATCTACCACACATTACAACTTCAACATTGTACTGGTTTAAACAGCTAAAAATCATGCACATTATACCTAATTTTGAGAAAAGTTAATTCTTCTAATGTCCTAATGTTTTGTTTATAGGGTCCCGGAGGTAGCCCAGGTCCCTCTGGAGAAAAGGGCAGAAGAGGAGGACTTGGTCGCAAGGTACTGAGTGGAACATAATTTGGTGTGGATTATATTCTTCCATAACAGGCTTGTTTCATTTATAAACACACTGGCCTAAGCCCAGCTCTCTCACATTACTGGACACACATGTGTAGTCTATTTGAACAAACATGAAAGCGCTATAAGAAAACATCAAGGCTCTGCTTGAGATATACGTATGCATATGAATGTAATTAAATCTATAGAAACTGACTTGACAGTTTAAAGAAATATTTCACACTTAATTTAAAGCTTTGACATTGTCTTTGGACCTTAACAATTTCTGCCTCTATCCCATTCTGTGTATTTCTGTCTTTGTAGGGAGAGCCAGGAGATCCAGGACCTAAGGGTGTTATTGGACCTCTTGGTCCCCGGGGAGAGCCTGTAAGAATGAATCCACATCTTCTTTGCATGTACTGTAATGTAAAACTGGTGAAAAATGAGCAAAATAAGAAGACTTACAAGCTTAGTCACATTATAATACAGAAGATGAACTTATACTTAATAACTGTTCTTGTGAAATAGAACACCTCTGGCAAAATAACTTCTGCTGCACATTGAAGAAGCTTTTCTTTGCATCACTGCCATGTGTGGTTTAAAGAAAAACTTATGTTACTGTCTTTTATATATGACAATGAATGATGTGTTTTTAATCAGGGAACTGGCTTTTTTGTTGAGTTTTGTATTGAATAAGTACCATAACACTACTTAGTATAACATAACAGTGCATAACTGTTGGGACAAAAGGGACATGGACAAGGAGGGTGTTTCTCCTGTTTCCCATTTAGTACCAGGAGTGCATGCAGCTATGTTAATAGCACTTGATAAAGAAAACCGATTCGTCGAACCATTCTTTCTTGTTTTTTCTTATAGGGGGAAGATGGTAGAGATGGCTTTGGTGTCACAGGGCCTAAAGGAAGAAAGGTAAGTTAATTTTCACCTCTTGTAATATATATATTATATAGCAATCACAAGGAATGTCTAAATAATGATGATAAGAGGGAGTTACAGAATATAATGAATAGCTCTGTAAAGTATGCCATTGCTGTAGCCCATTTAAGGATAGATATATTATCAGTGAAACAAATGCAGTTATGCACTCATTAAATGGGACAATAATTGACAAATCCTCTACAGGGTGATGAGGGCTTCCCAGGATTCCCAGGACCAAAGGTAATACAACAAAAATTTCAAATTGTAGTGTTAAATTGTACGGTCTGGTCAATGAGCCTTGCTTTTAATTATGATCATTGGCATCCATTCTCATTACTTTCTTCCATTTCAGGGAGCTGCTGGTGACCGCGGCAGTAAGGGCGGACCTGGACCTAGAGGGAATCGTGGGCAGAGAGTACGTTTTCAGACTCCCAGTTAGATTAGATTAATAAATGGTATTGCTTTGCAGAGTCTCTTAACTGGACTGGAAATCACTCAACACGTGTTTGGTGACTAGACTGTATGCAGTTTGGTCTGGTGGCAAATGAGCTGCACAAGCACGCACTCTAAATAGAGGAAATCTTTTAAGACAAGTTGTGTTTTTTTTTAAACTATTGTCAGTTAAATATCTTTAAAAGTGAATTGTATTAATTTTACTGTTAATTCTTTCCAGGGTGTCTCTGGGAATATTGGTACACCCGGACAGAAGGGAGAGGTTGGATATCCTGGGCCATATGTAAGGAACTTAAAATTCTACTCTAAGCTGTATACATTTCATATAAATGACCATCATAGCAGACTATGATTTACATACTTGAGTGGTCTGTGTTTCCTTGTCTCATAAATTCACATATTTTATACTGCACAATGTAATACTGTTAAGTTAACATGATTTAACAAAAACAATTGTGTTATGTAAGCAATACACAATATAAAGTGTTTTTTTTTTTATTGCTGGCCACATCCAGCTGTTAACACATCTGTTGTTGCTGTTCCCATAGGGTCAGAAAGGACCGAGAGGACCAGGTGTCGTGGTATGTGCTCATTTCATTCATCAAACTGTTTAAAATTGTATTGAATGAACAGAGAAAAACTAATTTCTGGTGCCTGTGATTAGAATATTAAAAAAAATCTCCAAATGTCTTGCTGTCCTCAGCAATGTGACCTGGTCAAGAAAATCAGGGACAACTGTCGTAAGTATAATTTAATGAGTATCAACAATGTCATTTGATGACAATGAAGAGTATTGATATTCATGTGTTATACTAATGTCTCACCACACTTTGTCTTTTTGTCTTTTTTTCCATCAGCTTGCTGTTATGGTAAGATATAAAAAAAATACATATAATATAAATTAGATAAATGTTTGAATGTGTATGAACTGTATGCACAACTATACAGAAAGCTAAATCCTCTATGTGTACACCATTAGGTCAGCAGGAATGCCCGCTCTACCCCACTGAGCTGGCCTTTGCCCTGGATGTCTCTGAGGCCAATGGCCGCCAACCCTTCAACAACATGCGTGACACAGTCCTGCGCCTAGTCAGAGATATCACCATCTCTGAAAGTAACTGTCCAAGAGGAGCTCGTGTTGCGTTGGCGCTGTACAACGATGACGTGACCACAGAGATCCGATTCGCTGATGCAATGAAGAAACGTGCCCTGCTGCAGCACATCGAAGGACTGCAGACGCTGCAGACCAAGAAGACTCGCAACTTGGAGTCTGCCATGAGCTTTGTGGCCCAGAACACCTTCAAGAGAGTGCGCAGTGGTTTCCTAATGAGGAAGGTGGCCATCTTCTTCGTCGGTGGAGCAGTCGGTCAGGCACGAGGACTTACCAGTGCAGCCCTTCGCCTCCATGATGCTGGAATCGCTACTCTGTTCTTGGTCAGCCGTGAGGACAGAGCACTCAGCAGAGCACTGCAGGTAAAACAAATCAAAAACAACCCAGGTATTTCAAAGGGGAAGTAGTATATAGGTTTTGTAAGGCATATTTACAGTCTGTCTTCAAAGGAAAAACATACAGTGTACGTTGTATTTTCAACATGTATTATTTCTCTTTGTACACCAGGTCAACAACACAGCACTGGCCCAGGTTATTGTCCTTCCCAACCCTGGAAGTGCACAGTACAATTCAGTCATCCAAAAGGTTATGAACTGCCATGTCTGCCTAGGTAAAAGCTTATTGTTTTTGTTTTTCACTTTATTGTTGTTCTATGTCCTGTTATGAGTAAATTCTGTTTGGTTGACATAATTAATAACTAGTGGTGGGACTCGAATAAAATTAGAGGCTTTGTAATTAATTAATCTCAATTAATCGCATATCAATATTTGACACGAGAAGCAA